TAAAGTAAGTCATCCAATGAAAGGATATTCATTATTCAATTCAATTTTCAATTCAGGATAGAAAATAGCCTAGTATTACTTCAAAATTTGGATGTTTTTCTAGATAACAAACCCTTAAAAAAATAGTTTTTTGCTTGTTTAAACTTCTTATTTAAAATGAGCTGAAACAACACAATTCAGCTGCATGGTGGCGCAGTAGGTAGCACGTTCGACTCACAGCAAGAAGGTCGCTAGTTTGAGCCTCTGCTGGGTCAGTTGGCGTTTCTGTGTGGAGTTTGGATGTTCTCCTCATGTTGGCTTAGGTTTCCTCTAGGTGCTCCAGCTTCCCCCCACAAGTCCAAAGACATGAGGTACTGGTGAATTGGGTAATCTAAATTGTCCGTATTGTATGAGTGTGAATGAGTGTGTATGAATGTTTCCTAGTAATGGGTTGTGGCTGGAAGGGCATCCGCTGTGTAAAACATATTCTGGATAAGTTAGCGGTTCATTCCGCTGTGGCGATCACAGATAAATAAAGGGACTGAAAAGAGAATGAATGGATGACAACACATTTCTTGAGATTTCATTGGGACAACTTGATTTTTTTATGTTCAATCCACATAAATATTTTAAAAGTGTTAACTTGTGTTGAGACAATATGAATGAATTGTGTGGAACCCTGCATTTTTTATAGTGCAATGTGTGGAGCTCATAAAGCAGTAAAAATAATAATGGCAGCTGGAAATTCACCAAAATTCATAGATTAATGAAATAAAGTTGATAATAATGTATGGCCGATCAAATAAGATGACCAGGAAATCATTAATACAAGAAATAGATTAGTTTCACATGTTTCATTAAAAAGGTTTCAGTGGTCCCTTTTAGACATTTTGATGATTGTTATTGATTGTGCAGTACATTAATGGCAAGCAGTTGTGCTGTTTGCATAATATCTGCTTTGTTTAGTACTTCAACAGAAACTCTAAGCAACTATGCTGATCTAAGTTCATCAGCTTTTTCTATAAACAGTCTTCTTATCTACTTTTCAAATGCCCTAATGAGAGCTAGTTGATATGTAGTTGCAAAGTTACCCACAGTCACCAGCATTCTAAAGTGTAAGCATGTGGAATTCAGATTTGAAATAAATGACAGCTCTATGAAAACATGCGAGGCACTCTTGCATAAGACAGCAAGTGCTTACACATCATCTTTGAATAATAAACCTCTCTTGTATCTTGTAAAACTAAACATCCTAATCTAACCCAGGTAGACTTCAACTGTTCAATGCAAGTTTGTGTGGTGTTTTGTTTCCGTGCTACTTTTATTGGTTCAAACTGTAAATCAGAACACACAGAGACAATCTAATCCTCTTCTGCCTGTCTCCAGTTCTTCCAACACCCCGATGCAGAGTTTTCCAATGTTCCAGCAAATATTTTACAATTTTGTTTTCCCCACATAGTCTGTTGGCAATAAGAGTTTTCCAGCATTACCATAGCTTGGTTTTAAGAGTGTTTGGCCACACGCATTAATTACGCTTGACACATCTATAAAGCATTAAGAAGCCCCTCATTGATCAGGCACTGACATTAGACATAGATCTGTTTATCTTGACTAACACAGAAGGAATGCGCAGAGCCAGAGAATGACTCTAATCATTATCCAGGAGCGCTTTAGTACATGAAAGCTGGTGACCCTGTTTTGTCTCCAGTGACGACAGACCCTTGCATGTTTTGCTTTTTCAGATGCAACGCCATAATGTGACTGTTTTGATAGAACAACTAAAGTACGTCATGAGAAATGCTCTGGGACGCAGAGTACAAATGAGCGCAGATGTCTGCACTAATGCTGCTTTTGCACCTGTTGTATTTTGTACTAACGAACGCTGATGGCTATCAACAGACAGCTGACAGCAGGCTGAAAAAAGGGGGAACCTTTCCCCCACACTCACAGCATATGCTCTTCATTATACTGCACACTGTCCAAGAAGTTGGCCAATCCATCACATCGTTGTACTTTTCCACGCTGCACTGTTTTGAAGCAACTTTCAAGACCAGCTAAATGATCAGATCAACTGCGTGAGTAGTCAACATCAGCTCATTAGCTCATGATGTCCAATCACTTTAATTAAATTTGCACTCTTTGGATTGACTTGACTCCATAAATAGGTAAAGAACCTATTAAATCAACTATTAGAAACAAAGCCTTCATTCTGAATGGATCACACCCTTTAAACTTCATTACAGGTCATTTAGCATAGATTGTTTTTCAAAAGACAAATCCTGTGACACAATTTGGAGTTAAGTGTTGGTAAAGCATCCACATCCTAAGCTGAAACTGTAATCTGAGCTAATTTATGCAATTTTTAAAATATGATGGGATGCAACCAAAATAGTAAACCATTTCTACAAAGCTTTTTCCTTATAAATGCATAAAACAAAATAAATTACATTAAGAAATGTGTAATATTCTTTGTTTTATAGAGAGCAATTTTTATCCTTTTGATCATTTTATTTGAGTTATGCAGTTTAATTTACAAAATTTCTATAAAGTATGTTAACTGTATATTTTAAACTTACATGCTTTTATGGACACATCCATAAGGCAAGCCTATTTCCTTCATTTAAAATATAAACACATTTGCTGATCCTTTAAGTCTGTAGTAGGTGGTTTTGGAAAATATAAACATGTTTTAATGTACTGTAAAATACGCTTTGGGCTGCACGATTTTGGAAAAATCTAACATTTTTTAATATATTTTGTTATTCTTTGATATTCAGTATTCATAAATATTTTGACATTGGCACAAATCTACCATTTTTGGCTCTATACACCGACGCAATAGATTTGAAATGAAATGAACAAGATGTGCTTTAAATGCAGACTGTCAGCTGTCATTAGGCTGAAAAAAACAAAACAAACCCATCAGAGAGATAGCAAAAACATTAGATGTTGGCCAAAACAACTGTGTGAAACATTCTTAAAAAAAGAAGGAGCACACCAGTGAGCTCAGTGAGTCTATGCGTTCCAGACTTCAGGCTGTAACTGATTGCAAAGAATTTGCAACCAAGTGTTAAAAAGTGAAATTTTGATTTATGATTATTATTCTTTATTACAATTACGTTTGATCTCTTTAACAAGTGGGACGCACATATGCAAACTGCTGTAATTTCTACAGCGCTCATCTGATTTGGATGTGAATACCCTCAAACTAAAGCTGACAGTCTTAAGCTTTATCCACTGATCAATTGTGTTGGTGTACAGACCTAAGAATGTTAGAATTGTGTCGATGTCCAAATATTTATGGGCCTAACTGTACGTATATATTGTGAAATGAATAGAATTTCACCAGATGACTTGAATGCCTTTATTTGGAAAGAATTAATCATTTTATATTGATTGGGATAATTCTGTAGGTCAGTGCATCTGCATTTAATCTAATAAACACTCTATAAATACAATAAGGAAAAAGTATTTTGCCATTTGCCGTGTAACAGTGTTCAGGAGCAGTAATTGAATAATAAAAATAATAAACTCACATGAATTATAAAAATTTATAAAACATTACAAACGGTACAATTTCTTATGCCTTAATGTTTTAAAAATCATTACACAGGCACATGCCTCAAAAAACATCCCAGCAAGCATTTTATGTTTTTAAAAGATGTCTAATAGACATCTAACTATAGTCGTCTTGACTAAAACCAGGCTAAATTTGGGCTGTCAGTAAAATCTAATAGACGTCTAATAATCAGTCATAATAATCATAAAATAAACAGAAATGAATCACTAAACATGTGAAGTCTTTCTAATCTGTCTATTTTACCACTAGTTTGGTTTTGGACTGTTTTTACAGTTGAAGTTAGAATTATTATCCCCCCTTTGATTTTCTTTTCTTTTTAAAATATTTCCCAAATTATGTTTAACATGGCAAGGAAATTTTCACAGTGTCTGATAATATTTTTTCTTCTGGAGAAAGTCGTATTTGTTTTATTTCCACTAGAACAATTTAGAATTTTTAGTTTTTTTTTAAACAAAATTTTAAGGGCAATATTATTAGCCCCTTTAAGCAAATTTTTTCAATAGTTTACGGAACAAACTATCATTATACAATAACTTGCCTAATTACCCTAACCTGCGTGGTTACCCTAATTAGCCTAGTTATTTAAATGTTAAATTTATGTACAAGAAGCTGCATGTAATAGATTCAAGTTTTTAAATGGTTCCTAGATATCAACCCATGCATCAGAGAGCTATAAAGACAATCGGATCTTAATACAAGTCTGCTGACCCCAAAAAGAGTGACACTAATACTGGTTATGCTTTTAATAATTCATGCTGGCTTCAGAAAAAAATGAAGGTTTTAGAGCAACAACATTTATGTAGGCTGCTTACAACATCACACATGGTTGCGGCATGTGCTACTAAATAAATAACAAGGAAAAGGGCATAAAAATAACTTGACACATTTTAAAGCCCCAGTTTATTTTGATGGTCCCTTTCAGACATTCTGCTGAATACATAACCTTATACAGTACCCACAAGTCATCTGACTCTCATAAGTGGTAGAGATTACACTGTAAAAATGCTGGTTTCCACACAATTCCTGTCATCCCAAATCAAATCAATGAAATCAACTTAATTGTTTGTACAAATTTAAATGGATTGAACATGAAATCATTAAGTTGTTATCCAGAAAACCTAAGATTTGTGTTGTTTCAACTCATTTTAAATAAGTACTGTGAACAAAAGTAACTTGTGAGGGGTTACAGGGTTATGGTTGAATAAGTTGACATGCATTGATTTAAAAAAAGTAGCTTATTAAACGTCTACTAACACTGACTGCTAGCTGACATGTGATTTCAAAGTTACTTACATCAAACAGGATGTCCAAAGGGGACCATCAAAAATAAAGTGACAACTTTACTACACGTAAAGCAGGGCATGTAAACAATCATGTATTTACACAGTCTGTTAAACTCATTTGCATATGATACAACTGTAGGTAATTCCCCTATACTCACCACATAGTAGAATTGCATGTCCTGGCGAACAGGGTCCTCAGGCTGCATGACTACAGATGAGGTTTTATCCGATCCCATGTAGAACAAAACCATACCACTTTCTGAACAGACCTCAGATCAGATTGAAAAGGAGAGATCCTGCTTGTTTTCATCAGTCAGACTGTTGATGAAGGAAGTCAGTCCATCAGTTTGTAGCAGGTCCTGTTTGCAAGAGCTTCAGTGTTTCCCCTGCGTCTGTGTGTATCTGAGAAGTGATAGCAGCTCTTCCTGTGAAAGGGTGCTCTCTGAGAGTGTCTGACTGTGTGCTCCCCGGCTGATAAAATGCGAGTCCTTACACGCAGCTCAGCGCTGTGCTCCTCGACTGTCAACAACAGGAAATGTGCCACAGCCAGCTCAGACTTTGACAAGCCTGCAGCTTTCTCTGACCGAGCACCAGGAAGCACTGGGAATGCATTGGTGTACAGTAGTCAAGTCTCACTTATCCTCCCTTTCCCTCCTCCTTTAGCTGCGCAAGCCATAATCCAAGGTTCAAGTCGGTTCAAGTATGAGTCTTTTATCTTAGTGGTAATTGCAGGATGATAACTGAACTTTGCTCTGTGATGTCTTTGATCTGACTGAAAAACTAGAATGGGAAAGAGAGAGTTTAAAGCCTTCTCTGGCCATTTCATAGCAAAACAGATATTATTAGCAAACTTTTTATAATCTATAATTAAAAGGGTAAAAAGAACAAAAAGACATTAATGACAATAATTAATACATTAAATAAGATTTAAAACTATATTTTACTTTAAAAGTTTTTGTTTTAAAAGAAAAGAGTTGACAGCAACAGATTACAAATACAAATAGCACACTTGAAATTAACTCTGGACCTTTTATTTGCTCATTGTAATTGGGACAATGAGGGAATAACACACACCGGGCCATGGAACAGCTTAGAAGCCAATTGTCCAATTTCTTTTGGTCCCTTAACAAGTGGGAGGCACAAATGCAAACTGTTGTAATTCCTACAGCATTCACCTGATTTGGATGTAAATACCCTCAAATTAAAGCTGCGGTCACACCAGAGTTTGAGTTTGCTAAATTCTGTCGTGCGGCTCTGCAAAAAAGGGACGGGATTAAACAAGATGATTAGATATATAAAAAGTGAGCGATTTGCTCCATATTTAAAATTTCTGTCCAGAGAGGTCATGTTTTGATCCTCGATTGGTCTCACGCAGTCTAGTGATGCGATTTCGCAGGTCAGAGTTCACCAAGCTTGAACTTTGCACCGCAGCACCCTGCGTTTCCGGTCTGACGCATTTGCGTGCGTATGAATAGAAGTCTATAGAAGAAAAAGCCCAGCGTGACCGCAGCTTAAAGCTGACAGTCAGTCTGCAGTTTAAGCACATCTTGATTGTTTAATTTTCAATCCATTGTGTTGATCCAAAAGTGTTAGAATATTTACTTTCGATAAAAAAATGTACCATTGTTACTTTTAGAATAATTTATTTTTTTTAGAATAAGGTCTAAACATGCTCAAAATACTCTGCATCTAATGCTTGCCTAAAAATGCTGCAATCACAATGTTGGAAAAAGAAGATTCTGAATGACATATTTTAATTAGACGCTTTCAATTAGCCTTCTATTTGATTCCAAACACCACCTTTTCAAATTAATCTGTTGCTGAAACAGCATTGTTTAATCAACTTGAATGCAAAAGGGGGGGGGGGGCAGACCTGGTGCAGTTGCAATCTGAGCTGCATGCAATGCTTTTTAATACACTCACCTAACCCCACTCTTACCCTACCCCTCACAGTGACGTCACTAGCTCAATTGACTGCATTGTATCCAGTGGTGTAAAGTAACAATTTACAAATAGTAGTTTTTCTCAGGAAGTGTAATTTACTGAATAGTACTTGTATGTGTACTTTTACTTTCCCTTGAGAACATTTTTAGTGCTGTATCGGTACTTTTACTCCACTACTTTCCTTCACCCTGCAGTCACTACTTTATTTTTTTCTTGTCAATGGGGATTAGAACAATCAGTTCTGTGATTCCTGTCCAATCAAATCACACACAGAAGGAAAATCACATCATAACGAACTACCTCAAAACATGGGCGATTTATAATTGCAGCAAACTGTTTGGAAGCTTTAAAAGATGTCCAAAATCTTAACACGTATTTTGGTTGCTATACCTCAGAAATAAATGTCAGTTTTTGATGTCAATATGATGTTGATAAAAGATGTTGGCTCTTTGGTCACTTACTACTAAAATTACTAACAACCTAAAATCAAGCAAATATCAACGTCATTTGACGTCATTATTGAACATCAAAATAACGTTGCCCTTAGACGCTGGCTAGACATTGAAATTGGACATAATATTGACGTCTTTTGATGTTGTGTGTCTGTTGGGCAATAACTGAATGCACTACAGAATGTTACGTTTACACACATTCACAAATTACATGTAACTGCATCAGCTTTCCACAACCTAATGCTCACTACTCACTACTCTTGAATAATTTTGAAAGGTATACTTTTTACTCATACTTTGAGTAATATTTACAACAGATAGTTTTACTCTACTTGCAATACCTTTTTAGGCAAGTAGTGGTACTTTTAATTAAGTATATTTTTCAGTACTCTTTTTAGATTTACATTTACATTTAACGCTTTTATCCAAAGCGACTTACAAATGAGGACAAGGAAGCAATTTACACAACTATAAGAGCAACAATGAATATGTGCTATAGGCAAGTTTCAGGTCTGTAAAGTTTAAGAAGGAAAGTATTAGTCTTTTTTTTTTTTGTAATTTAGTATTCATTTATTTATTTATTATAATTTTTTTTTAGTACAGTTAGTGGTATATCCCGAGAGGCAATTGCATATTAGGAAGTGAAGTGGAGACTAAATAGTTGAGTTTTTAGTCGTATCTTGAAAACAGAGAGTGACTCTGCCGTTCTGATGCAGTTAGGAAGTTCATTCCACCAACTGGGCAGATTGAACGTGAGCGTTCGCGAAAGTGATTTCTTCCCTCTTTGGGATGGAACCACGAGGCAATGTTCATTCAAAGAACGCAAGTTTCTGGAGGGCACATAGATCTGCAGCAGTGAGAGCAGATAAGAAGGAGCAAAGCCAGAAGTCGCTTTGTAGGCAAACATCAGAGCTTTGAATTTGATGCGAGCAGCAACTGGCAGCCAGTGCAAACAGATGAGCAGCGGAGTGACATGTGCTCTTTTAGGCTCATTGAAGACCACTCGTGCTGCTGCGTTCTGGAGCAGCTGAAGAGGCTTGATAGAGTTAGCTGGAAGCCCAGCTAGTAGAGAGTTACAGTAATCCAGTTTGGAGAGAACAAGAGCTTGAACAAGGAGTTGAGCTGCATGTTCAGATAAGAAGGGTCAGATCTTTCTGATGTTATAGAGTGCGAATCTGCATGATCGAGCAGTTCTAGAAATGTGGTCAGAGAAGTTTAGTTGGTCATCAATCGTTACTCTAAGGCTTTTCACCATATTGGATGCAGTAATGGTTGCCCCATCCATCTGGATTGAAAAGTTATGGTGTAGAGTCGGGTTAACAGAAACTACAAGCATTTCCGCTTGTGTCTGACATTGCATCTCTGAGATATGTAATCTCAGCTTGCAACATCAAGGCTGCATCTAGATACTGCTGCCTCACAGCAAGAATGTAGCTGGTTTTATCCTGGCTGGGTCAGTTGGTATTTCTGTGTGGAGTTATGTTCTCCCCGTGTTGGCGTTGGTTTCCTCCGGGTGCCCCGGTTTCCACCCACATGTCCAAACACAATGTAGGTGAATTAAATAAGCTAAATTGGTCATAGTGTATGAGTGTTTGTGTGAATGTAAGAGTGTATGGCGCTTCCCAGTACTGGGTTGCAGCTAGAAGGGCATCCGCTGTGTAAAACATATGCTGGAATAGTTGGTGGTTCATACCAAAGTGGTGATCCGTGAATAAGAATCTAAGATGAAGGAAAATGATTGAATGAATGAATGCAAATGTTTTTTTCCCCTCGAAATATGTTTGAAGAGTTCAGATATAATCTTTTTCTCAGGCTCTTGTGTTTATGTTCAGTTATTTCACTTTAAATGCAATAAAAAAGAACCAATTCATCTCCGTCAATTGAATTACTGAAGTACACACAGGAGGCTGTAAAAATTATCATTTTAGAAAAACATTTTAGATAGCACTTAGAAGCTTTTACACCCGGTCTCCATTTTGTTCTGGTTAGCAGTTCAGTATATTAGTATCAGCACAAATTTAAAAGAAATGAATACTTTTATTCAGCAGTAATGCAGTAAATGGACAAAAAGTAACATTAATTATTACACGTTTCCTCCTTTTCTGAACATTCTAATAATCCTGAAATAAATAGGGTAGTCCACCCAAAATTACCTCATTTATTCTCATGTGGTTTTAACTCAACAAGCGTCACCTTGAAATTATAAGGTTCTCTCTGCGTTCTGAATGATTTTGAGATGTTGAGCTACAAAGTTTTTGCAATCCATAGCAAACAGTATGTGTGTAACATTTGATCTTTAAGTAAAAAGTCTAAAAATGTAAACAACTTATTAAAAAAAGACATCCCATAATGTAAATAAGATGTCGATTAATAAAAATATGTCTCAATTTTGACAAAATTGTCAGATAGAACCTTATACTCTTATACTCACCTTTCTCTTGTTGAACACAAAAGAAGACATTTTGAAGAATGATATTTGAAGGGACCCGGTTTCCAACATTTTTTCCAAAATACTTTCTTTAAGTTTTTAACAGAAGAAAGAAACTTAGAAAGGTTTTGAACAAGTGAAGGGTCTGTAAATGATGGCAGAATTTTTATTTTTTAGTGAACTATTCCGTTAAGAGCCCAACTTTTTTGCAGAAATAATAACTATTTTGAGTGCCAAAGCAGTATATTAGTACTGCTCAGTACATTATGTACTTCCTGTTGGGAAGAGGTTAAACCTTCATTTTTAAAAAAAACTTTATTTATGATTGATTTAACATTTTTACATTTTACAAACATGGTGAAAAACTCTTTAAAAATTTAATAAAATCTAATAAAAAAACATAAAAAAAAAACAAAAAAAATTAATAAAACCCAATTACATCACTAAATTAGGGGCAGATGTCTACATTTTATTAAATCAATGTTACAATTCAAGTAATAAAATATTACAAACGGATGTGTTATTATTGTCAAGAGCTAGCAAGGGTGATTAGTCTAGATCCAGCAGGAGAGTTTTAACATAAGTGAAACATTAGTATAATTATTGACAGTGACAGTGTGAAGATGACTGCACAAGTGATGCTGAAGATTCAACAACAGCCATTATTTTAAAATTAAGTACAACTTACAAAATTATATAAAATGTTTTATATAAATATTTGATAATATCACAGTTATTTTGTATGTACTGCATTTTTATTCAAATATATGTAAACCCTTCATTGAGTCTGGTTTCTCTCAAGTTTGTTTTCCTTCACTTTCGTCAATTAGTAAAGTTTGTTTCTCACCCCTGTTGCCACTGTCTTGCTTGGTTTTAGACTTGTGGAGCTGCACATTGATGGATTTGCTCTTCAGCGTTTGAACTCTCAGAAGTGAAAATTAAACCACACTGAACTGAAGTAAACTGAACTTCAAATCTGAAAACTAGACTGGCACAGTTTCCGTTTGCTAGAACTTCTTTGTGAAGCTGCTTTGACACAATCTACATTGTAAAAAACTCTGTTGAAATAAAGATAAGTTTAACTTGAGTTTAAAAATCTACCATACTTAAGCTTAAAATAAGGTTTTATATTAGTTGATGTATTTACTAACATGAACTAATTATGAACAGTACTTGCACAGCATTTATTCATCAGTTCAACATTTACTGATGCATTATTAAAATCCAAATTCATGCTTGGTAATGGTGGTTTTTCCACTGTGGCGACCTCAGATTAATAAAGGGACTAAGCTGAAAAGAAAATGAATGAATGAATGAATGCTTGGTAAAATTAGTTAATGCACTGTTAACATGAATTAAAAAAATAAACAAATGTATTTTCTTTAAATAACATGAACAAACATTGTAACAAATGTATTGTTCACTGTTCATGTAAGTAAATGCATTAACTAACATTAACTAATACAACCTTGTTGTAAAGTGTTACTCAAAAATCTAGCCGCCCCCAAAACATTTAAATGTTTTTATTATTTCAAAATATGTTAGGTCAAATTACCTGTGACCTTTTGTAATTTTCCAGTGGAAAGCAAAACAAGTGTTTATTATGAAAGTGCTGAGGTGGTTGTGGTTGCCGCTGAGCTGAGCTCTGCATAACTTTGATGAACAGCAGAAATGAAATGTAAATATAAACCCACAAGGGGGCAATATTGCACAAGTTTTTCATAACGTAAGGACTTATTACGTAAGTTTGTTGTGGAGATACTAATAGATGGTAATGAATGTTTTCAGTGGCTCAGTTTGGAGGGGGGATCTGATCTAAAAGCTCAACCCTCTGGAGAAGGCAAAACAAAAATCCTTATAAACCAGAAATCATATTTGCATTTTGATTAATATAAAATCAGGAATGTGTGTATTCATAAAAACACAATGACTGCAAAGCACTGTTATGCAAGAAAAATAATTTATTTTAATGATATACCTTTTACCACAGAGGCAAGACATATTGCAGCTGATTAGAGATCTCACAGCGACCTTCATTTCTGCTGGAGGGTGAGGTCTGTAATATGCACATTTTAAAATATGTCTTTCCAAGGAAAAAATAACAAAAATATAATTCTCAATAATATCTTGCCTTCCCTGTCTTTTCTCTAGTCCCAATAAACGAGAGCAATCTGTTTATTTAAAGCTTTTCCCATTCTAGCGATCAGTCCAAGGGCTTTTGTGCTGGACTACTAAACTCAGTCTTTTCTTGCATGTAAAAACTAAAGCTTTGCATGCATTCGTAAGGAGTTTTCAACTTGTGATGTCAAGGACTGTTTCAGAGTGGTTGGTTTACCTTGATGGTAGTTAACAAAGTTGTACAAGACTCTCTTTTATTCCTCCTTAGCTGGCACATTTACTCTCCTCTGTATACTGAACTGAGATTCCTAATGAATCCCTATCAGTTATGGGTGGAAAGAAGAGATTAGCACAAAATGGCTTGCAAAACGCCTAGAGAGGAAGGTGTCACGTTTTCAGGTCCTTTTGTCAAATGCTACTAATGTTATTATAATAAAGTATGCCTCCAATAGATGCTCGTCGTCCCTCTCTGGGATTTACATTATTGATTCACAGGGCTAACAGTCCACCAAGGTACATTTCATTGAGTTCTTTACTTTGTTTTGCCTACTTAATACGCATCTCCTTCCACTGTCTCTCTCCCGCTCTGTTCTTCTTGTACCTGTGAGAGTACTGTTGACATTGATAGGGTTAACCACAGAGTACACAAGAGTAGTGATAAATATTATAGTAGTAAATCCTAAAAAGAGTAAAAGAAACTCTGCATACTTCTACGGAAGTGCAATACCAAGGCATTTAAAAACACAAAGGCTTCACGCCAGAGTACAAGGCAAATAAACACTGGTTGTCAGACTTTTTTTCATTCACTAAATATTTAAAACAAGTGTCACACACTATTTTACTGCTGTGGTATTCTGTCTCTTTTTTCATGTTATGCTTTTCATATTGTCGGAATACCTGAACGACTAGTCTGAGAGGATGAATGTCAAGACTCCATGTCGATCTCGTTGCAGAGTTAGTTTTTTTTTTTGCCAAGCACTTCCTCTCCTGGACTGCTGAGGGCGCTTCGGCTCAATAGCACCAGGTTTCTGTCCATTGTCTCAATGGGATTCAGAAGAACAGTCACATGGGGAAGGGGAGATTCATAAGGAATGGTAAGAAGAAGCAGTATCAGTCTTTGCAGTTGCTTGTTGTAGATGTCTGCAGTAGTCTCCGTAAATTCCCTTAATGTAGGATGGCTGTCAGTTTACGACAGGTGACCTACCCGAGTCCTCGAGGAAATGACCACATTTGATAAAAATCTGCAAGTCTTTGTGCATTCAGATGTCGATCTACAATCCAGTCTTATATGGAGGGCAACCATTTTAAAAAAGTATTTTCTATTATGTTCCTTTTTGGTCAGAAGGTGAATCTAAACATAACACTGTTGAGCTCTGCCTCACCCTTTCCTAACATTCACAGGCATTGACTGCCAGTGTTGGCAGAAAGACAGGTCTGATTTATCTCTGATGCATAGTTTGAAATGGACATTAAGTGAGAAGCTTTGCACTTGGATTGGATGGAGGTGATCTGGACTTTGTATTGCCTCATGTTGAGGCAAGACTAAGGTATATACTGTTTGAATCAGCTCTGCTTTACTTTAAATAGGCCTCAGCAAATCTCTATCTATACTGTGTGTTGTTGAGTCAAATCTCTTTATGAGAGGGCTGCTCAACCCTGTTCCCAGCGATCTCCCTTCCTGCCGATTTTAGTTGCAACCCTTATCAAACACACCTGCCTGTAATTGTCAAGTGCTGTTCATGCTAGGGATGCACTGACATCATTTTTTGGAACCGTTCCCGATACCAAAATTCTGAGTATCGACTGAAACAGATCCGATCCCGACGATGGGTGCTATTTTTTAAACATAATGCAGTTTAGTTTTAGTGATAAACTCAGTAAAATATATTTCTTCTTTAATAAAAATAACACACATTTTGACCTGCTGTATATGACAGACAATCTAACTAAAACATGACGCTTGCCGTAAACTAGGCTACAGTATTTGAGCATTCATTATGAAATTGATCTGTTGTGGTCCAGCTTATGTTACCTTTTTTAATATTAAGATTTTTCTTTGAAATCTGTAATATGCTACCAATATTTAGGGTGGCCTGGAAGTACAAAACAACATTACAAAGTGTGAAACACTTTTACGAAGCTCAAGACAAATTTACATTTTGAAGAATATTTTTACCTTTCATAAGACACAATTACATAGGAAAAACAATTTTACCAAGGACGAAACAAATTTACATTTAAAAAAAAAAAAAGACGCAAAACACTTTTACCAGTCCCGAAACAAATTTACAATGACAGGTTCTTTACGGAAAAGTAATGTACCACACACCTGAAAATATCAGCTTGTGTGTGACTTTGTAGACAAAGGTTAACACGAGTCCAATAGCACATGTAAACATGAGTCTGCAACTACAAAAATCATGGTTTGACCAACTGCAATCAAACATTGTTTTGTCATTTAGAGCTATTCTGAGAAAATATCAGCGTGAGAGTGTGTAGGAACATGTAAACGCAAGTACAAGGAAACAAGTTTAAACGAGTGCACAACCAAAGCACAACATATGTTGACTGATAAAGATAACAAAACCGACTTTCAAATGTAGTCCTAAATAGCTTGGTTAGATAGGTTGATTAATAGTCGTGCTGAACTTTTTGACTTGGATTCAAATCCCAATGATGACATGTAAATGATAATTATATCTTTACGTTAATTTTGGTTATATACTGTTCTGCCACACAAATATTAAAATCAATAATGTTCACAATGAAACTGACACCAAGTAATGAGAATATTTATTTGGTATGGGCATGTTTTGTTGCTGTGAAAAAGTGACTAATCTGCCAATCTGCAAGTGTGAATAGTTTACATCTGGAAAGGGACACCAGTTAACACGGTCACCAGTTAGGGTTGAGTTTAGTTACTCAGTTAACCCCCTAAACCAACACGCAACCATCCCCAAAGCTCTTTACTTAGCGTGCAAACACCCCCCCCCCCTCCCCCCCCCCATTCACTTCGCTCGCAATCTTGACCTTATGCCCACGATAACAGCGTATGAGTGGACCTTGTTAAAATATTGAACACATTGATGCAGTATGTCTGGTGTTTCCGCCTGGTTCCATCCGCATCCTTTAGGAACTCCAAACAACGTTAAGTTGCTCATGTGTTCTTTCCGTAAAGAGTCTGTCACTGTGAATTTCTTTCGGGACTGATAAAATCGCTTTTTCGTTTGTAATTGTGTCTTATGATAGGTAAAAATGTGTTCCAAAATGTAAATTTGTCTTAAGCTTCGTAAAAGTGTTTCACACTTTGTAATGTTGTTTTCTTGCAGATTTGAAGCAGACTAAACTAAACCATCTGAGGCCAGTTTTTCTTTATAAACGTTTGGGATATAGTAGGCCTACATGACAACTTTCTAGTGCCTTTTAATAGGCTACCGTCATGGCTTTTGTTGGCTTATGAATTAAACAGAATATAGCATCCAAGTATTGGGATCAGTGCATCCCTGGTTCAGGTCCTAGTTAATTAGTTCAAGTGTGTTTGATGAGGGTTGGAGCTGAACTTTGCAGGAAGGGTAAATCTCCAGGAACAGAGTTAAACAGCCCTACTTTATGAGATAATACAATTGAATCAGTAGCCATGATGGGTTTCCTGAGTTGCAAAGAAACCCCTGAGAGATTTGACATGAATGACTGCCAGAACAAAACCAATAAGCATATGGTAACAATTACTTGTCCTTCTTCTGTAGCCCCCTTTCTGTGCTGTTCCCTCAATTTTTGTACCGTCCACAATTACCCTTTTAAAAGATTAATTTTTCTCTGTGAATGTTGATTTGTTGTGGATTTGTGCTGTGCATAAGCATAGCTATATGCTGTCTGTTTACACTTCTGGCAGTGCGGGAAGATCTTTAGACGTGGGTTCGGGTATATTGCATGATGATGGCTCAATATGACCACTTCAATCCGTTGTGTGCTGTGAGCTTATAAAATAATAGGCAGTTTCCCAAGAATAGTCACAGTAAGGAAAAGCTGTGTTTTCTTTGCATTTTTGATCAAGCAGTTACATTTTTGTGTGTATATTTATATATATATATATATATAGTATACATATATTTGTACAGATTAAATAAACTCAATAATACATTTATATGGCCTTTCATATCTTTTAAAAAGCAAAAAAAAACAAAAAACAAAGAAAATAACAAATATAGCTTTTTGTCTTGTAAACTACTTCCTGTACTGGTGAAAGTGCTTCAATTTAAGGGGTACCAGACCTTGCTTACAACCTCTGTGGAATGTTTACACTCCTCTGTCTGTGCGAGTTTGTGCAGTCTTTTAATACACAATTATCCTACTAAGACACTTCATGGTCCACCACTGAAATGGACAGAGCATGCTTTGGCCACAAATATAGGCTGGGTCCTAAAAAGTCTGAAAATACGTTGTTTCACTTTCATATTCCCAGAATTGCAGATTTTTACACCAGAATTTTTTTCAGCAGTGGCGGGCTCAGATTCCTTTACTACCGTCTATACTCCTCTACAATTTTAAACCATCAAATGTGATCCCCTTGCCTGAACGCAACAACACAAAACCACTTAAAGTCCTTCAGCATAAGGTCTTTGATAATGAAACCATTTAGATGGACAGTGGAGCATAACGGAAATCCAGCCATATTGATTTCCAGCATGTGGTTCCGTACAAGTAGAATCACTGGTCCTGCGAAGATGGTTTTGGTGTGTTCATTGCGCTCCCATCTGGTTGTGACTGAGAGAATTCCGTGACTCGTCGTGCCAAAGGGTTTGTGCTCTTCAGCAACTCCATGGCAGAAACTCTGGTCCCACTGCTAGCTTTGCTGCTCCTCTTTTGGAGGAGAGCCATAAAGTTTTCATTTCGTGAGCTTGACCGAGGTGTAGTCCCAAGGCCCAGAGTTCTGAAGTCTGTACTACTGCTTTTCACAGGCGAGACCAGACACTGACTTCTTCCAAAAGAATCTGATGGTTCCTTTCGACCAAGAACTTTTCTCTTTGACCTAGGAAAGGCAGAACAATAGAAATGTTAGAATAACAGCAACCGTGACCATCTTTACTCCTCAGCTACTGTACCATCTTGCAAACTTTACTTCGTACTCTGTTAAAACACACCTGACTTCAGGTGTGAAGAAGTATTTCTGAACACATTGATAGGTTGGTTTAGGTGTGTTTGATTGGAGATAAAATTTGCAGAACAGTAGCTCTCCAGGAACAGGACTGGGGACACTTAATCACTATGGTAAATTATTGTGCTGACTTCTTTGTGACACACCTATTCAGCAAGGGCATCCCTTTACTTATAGCTATCCCTTTCTAAAATCTTAAATCTAATGTCCAAATCAGCTAAAGAAATACAAAACTGAGTACTCAATTTCGCACTCAAACACTTTTGACAGTTATTATTTGTTTACAAAATAATCAAGTACCTACTTGGTGACCTCTGCATTAGAAGACATGGCCCCTGACATCAAGTATAGGAATAACTCAATGAAAGTTAACTGCAAATTATATACCTGTGTATTATGGTGAAGAGATCTTCAGTGGTGTGAGTTGTGGGTGTGTTGACAAATACTTCATCCTCTGTTTCCTCTGTAATGTGTAGTTCAGTTTTGTCAACTGCAGAGATGTTCTCTTCCAATATTTCTGTTTCTGTGTAAATTTCTGTGGAGCAAAAAAAATGGCTTTAGTTTTAAACTAACAAACATAGATTGCATTTCATTTATTTCAAGCATAAATGGAAATATAAGCAAATGTTTAACCTTTTACTATCTCTGCTGGAGGTGTCTCCCTTTCCATAAAATGATGAGAACCTCTGTCTTCTGAACTGTATTCTTCAACTACTACATCATTCTCCTCGTTCCCAAAGGTCTCATAAAGTTCAGGAATTTGGTGGTTTTCATGTGAAATTTGCTTGGCAGAATAGTCTTCCTCTTCATCTTTAAGCAAATCTCCCTCAATCTCAGATGCTGATGTACCGGTAGGTGACTGAGAGATGCTTTCTGAAAGTAGAGTTTGCCTCTCTGCCCCACCATTGGTCTGGATGCTTGGAGAGGGAAGTAGAAGGACACTGGGTTTTTTTGGTACTGGTGGTGGTACCTTGGGCTTCCTTTTGTCTAATTCTGCCAAACAAGATATTGTCATTCTACTTGGAAGAGTTTTACATTTATCCTCCCTTTCTGGGCTACTTGGGGATGGAAGATCTTCTTCGATGGGAATCCCATGCTCTAGGTCAAACTCTGGAAAAGTAGATACATGGCTGCGGATGGGCTCTTGTGTGGCTATTGCAGATGTGCTGAGTGATGCCTGAGCTGGTCTTTTAGGTTTGGGTTTCCTTACAACCATATAAATATTACCAACAGGCATAGGTCGGTCCACAGGGGAGGATGGAGGAGATTCAGGTGTCAATGGGGAGGATGAGGGAGATTTAAGTGTTAAGTTTACGGGTCGCTTTGGGAGAGGTGGCTTCATTGCTACTGGTGGCTTTGGCTGTTTTGTATTAGAGGGTGTGATAGGAGGGCTGAGATCTCGACTTTGTTCTTCTTCTATAATGTCAGAGGAGCCGTCAGGACTGTCCTCAAGTTCTGAGCGGCTTACTGAACGAAGGCGGATGTTTCGCAAATCTGTTGTGGTTACCATAGGCAGTGAAGACTGACTGGGGCTCAGTTTACCTGGTTTGTTGGCTGTAGATGTGTCAGAGTGACGTCTACTGGCTTTAGGCTTGGGTTTGACAAAGGACAGATCCAATTGAGCATTTGCAGGTAGTTCAAATGAAAGACGTGAGCGTGATTTGTCCTTTGCAGAGGCTGGTAAGGAAGATTTACGCTCTGGAATCTTTGGCCGCATCTTGCAGCCAACTGGAGAAGGTCCAGTGAGAAGGGTGTTTGATATAGTTGGGGTTGGAGTTTCAGACTGGCTTGAGTAGCCACTGGATGGTGACAAGAGGCATGGTGGTTTAAAAGGGGATACCTTGGTCTCAGCCTCAATTGACATCTGAGATGGGGATGTGGCTCTTGATGTTGAGGGTGAATTCAGAGATTCTGAACTTCCTCGCACCTTCATGCACTCAATGACTGTGGTACCTGTGGCTGTGCTTGAACCTGACAATGAGCGGTAAGGATCATTGTTGGACTTCCACTCATTGAGCTGCCAGTGAGGAGGAAACCCGAGCTCTGTTTCTCTGTCAGCAGGCTGAGAAATATCAGAAGATGTCTCTAAGCTGCTATGAGCCTGATCTGTGTCATCATCAGGCTTGGCAATTAGGAACTCAGGCTGGAATGAATCTTGAATATCTCGAGGAATAAAAAGACTCTTAGGTCTGCCGTCCCTGAAGTGCCCTTCGTTTTGGTAGGAGCCCATTCCTCTGATTTCTGATAGGTTTTTCATCAGAGATACACTACGCACAGGAGGTGGTGGCTTTTTTTTAGATTTCTTTAGTGAGATACTGCGTGACCGTGACCTTAGTCGACCATCAGGAAGAAAGTCTGAACCTGTGGTCACAGAAACATTATCAGTGCTCGTGCTATCCTCCGAGCTGTTACTCGGATAAAGCAAGGCATAACTTTCACCCTCTGGAACCCCAGAGACAGCCTCGCCTGGAGAACATATATTATCTGCTGAGCAAAATGATCCAGAGTCTGTTGGTGTTGAAAGTGAGCGCTCACGGAACCTGAAGACATTGGATCGGGCTGATCTCTTTTCCTGCTCACTTTTGCTATTTCTTGTGACTGCAGTAGAAGCTGTCACCTCAGTCTCATTCCGTTTCCCTGTTACAACTCCACTCCCCTGTGTGGACACTGTGTATACTCTGTGCCCACATGGTTCAGAGATGGAGGTGAAAGAACTGGAGTGTGACCCTGAACTCATGGAGAGGCCTGAACTAGTCTGAGATGGACAAATTAGACCACCCCTATCACCTCCAGGTGTTAACATTCCAGTTTTAGTCACTGGCTGCTTGGAAGCAGGGCTGGTAACCAAGGCATAGTTGTAGGAGTCATTCCAGGAGGGAGAGAAAGTGGAACCTTTTGGGCCATTCCAGGAAGGGCTTGGGCACATTAGAGTGGCATGATCCATCATGCCTGATGGGGTCTTTGGGGATGGGGGTATGCTGTACTCCAGGTCACTCTGAGTCTTTCGAAGAGGAATATGCTGTTGACCTGTATTCTCTGTGGTAGGCTCCAAAGATCTAGGTTGAGATGATCCAGGGGAACAGGCACCTTGTATCAAATCAACAGCAAGAATTTTGCTGTCGCCTAAAGACAAAGTGAAAAGAAATGTTTCAAAAAAGAAGTTGCATTACTCAGATGAATTTGTAAAGACTCTAAATTCAGAACATTCAAATCTAAAACTGCAATCTGTGTGAAAATAAATGCTGACAAAAAAACTGAAAATCTTCTGTGTGGCAAGTCAAACATTAGACTTTGGATTTACAAATTATTCCTGGTAGAATTGATTGGTCAGTGCCCATTGTCCTTTTCCCATTTATTTGCTATTTACATTCTAACTTCCTTTTAGTCACCTTGGCAGTGCAGCGTGACATCAGGGCCTGCAACCACACTCCTCGGGCGGCGAATGGTTTTTGGGTTGACCGCTGAATCAGTTCTAATGGTGGCCCGCAGTTCGCTGTGCCGTGCGGCGTGCTTATCAAAGCTCTGGCCTGAGGCGAGATATGAGATACCAACTGTCAGGCTAACTGACAGTCTTCAGATAAATAAATTATGCTTAATTAATGGTTATTATAGAAGTTATGTTATTCTTTGCATGTTATGATTGACTGAAAAGCATAAGCCATGACTTCCTAATCAGACTTAAGTAAAGGCAATGACAAGCAATTTGCTAAATCTATGAAAAAGTACATTATGGAAAAAGCAGTAGCCAACATGAGATAGATGGTTAGCTGGAGATTGAATCATGGTGCCTGATTGATCTGAAGAAATGAAATCAGACAATGGACACTGGATAATACATCAAAATAAGAGCTGGATATTGACTAAGCAAAGCATTATTCAATGGCAGATCTATGTAGCATTCTTTGATTTGTATGGGACAATACAATGCTGATGTGTTTTCAACAACTGCACTGAATTAGTTGTTTAAATTTTTTAAACACTCAGTGCAGGAGGGAGTGCTGTGATAAATGGTCCACCGTTCCACAATGATGAAAGGAACTGAACATAATGTGCTAATTAAGCCCAGTTCTCACTATGTTCTTTACATGCATACCCTTTTTGTTTCTCAGAAAACAGCTCTGCGAAAACACCCAATGAAACCTCATTACCTCCCAACATGTGACAGGTTTCATTCATGAAAAAAAAAAAAGGTGGTGAAAAAATCTTCATCCATCCCTGTTACTCCCACCCAACCGCTACAGTTCTCTCTCTATCTCACTCACTCACATTCTCTGTCTGTCTCTCACTCTATGCAGCTTTTTCTGCACCTCCTAGCAAAGCGAAGGAGGGAGAGCTGCATGTTGCCATGGCAACAGCTACCTGTTCATTATCTTTAGCGAGTGAAGAGCAGCACTACTTTGGGAATCAGACTCGAGGCTGGCCAAGCACAGAATTATCTGTGTTTACAGATCCTACCACTTCTCTACTATGTCTAGGCCAGAGAGGGGAACAGCAAGGTAGTCAAGAGAGATATTTAAAGAGATGGGTGTGGGACAGCTGTGAGACACACAGAGAAGGTAAGAGAGCAAGAGCACCGCTACATCAAGAGAGCTGATGTATTTTTAATGACAGTTTGAGAGATAAAATAAGGGGTTCATCCCAAAATAAAACTTGCTATTAATCTATATCCATGATGCCTTTTTAGCACCGCATTAAAGACTAATAGCTGAAACTGTGGTCCTTCCTTAGTGTTTCATGAAAAAAGTCAATGACTTGAGGTTTAATAAAGGTTTAATAAAGGTTTTGTGCACGGCTGTTGCTAGGTGACGGACACGAAAACAAAGTGCCAAAATGGAAAGACGTTCGCACATTGCGGTCATTCTTCTTTTACAGAATCTTTTGGTTTTGGACATACAGAAAGCGACTAGCGCCTATCTGACGCAAAAATATTATAAACATTCAGAACATCACACGATGTATGCAGAAGCTGTTTTTGAGACCAGCAGACATCATCACTGTGTTTGCCCTGGCACAGTCCTGCTTGTCACCAAGGTACAGTACGTGATACACACACACACACACACACACATACATAACTGAACGTTATGAAATCGCTGCTTTGTTGTACTGTTGGTGATTCATTCCGCTATTTGGTACAATTGCATTCACACCAGAAGTGAACCGGACCAGAGTTTGCATGGACAGTACTGTAGTTAACTACAATAGCACAATGCATTGTTGGAAAAACTAATGAGCAATTCAATAATTTTTTCTCAAATTGTATCACTCAGACATCATCTGAAGCACATTGGTCTGAACTGTCATCACACAGGTTGGTACAGTATATTGGTATAAGGAACAATAACTTAATTCGTTCATTTATTCATTCATTCATTTTACTTCAGCTTAGTCCCTTTATTAAATTGGGGCTGCCACGGCGGAATGAACCTCCAAATTATCCAGTATATGTTACACCCTTCCAGCCGCAACCCAGTACTGGGAAACACTTATACACTCTCACAATCACACGCATACACTACGGACAATTCAGTTTATTCAATTAATGGAGGGAAACCTAAGCACCTGGAGGAAACCAACGGGGAGAACATGCTTATTACAGAAATGTCAATAGACCCAGCCGGAACTCAAACCAGCAACCTTCCTGCTGTGAGTCGACAGTGCAAAGCTCTAAAGCCTGATTTATACTTCTGCGTCAGGTGACCGGCGTAACCCACGGCGCAGGCAACGCGCGTGGCTGTGCATTTATACTTCTGCGCGCTGTCTCTGCCGGTCTGCATTAACACTTCCGAAACGCTAGTTGGCAGTGAGGTGTAAATGTTCCTCTGTGTCAAGTTTCTTCGCTACTTTTTTTGCATTTCCTGAACACTTCCGGGGTGTACAAGTGGCTCAAACTCGCTCATTTTGAGGCAGGAACCGGCGGACGTGCAACAACTTTAACTATGAGGTAAACACAAAACAAAACTTTCCATCCGGAGCTCCTTCACGGGACTCCACACTTGTAAACAATCACTCGCGCGGCGTCGCGCCATTCGCGCACCTCTCGGTCCCACCCAGACTCGTCAGCGCTACCAAGCCGACCAATCACAGAGCTTACGCTACGCGTCGTTGCGACGTGTAGTTACATTTTTTGAGGGGTGCACGTCAGTGACGGCGATGGCCACGGCGAAGGGCTATGCGTCAGCGCCGTAGCATACGCCGGTGTTTGACGCAGAAGTATAAATCAGGCTTAAGCCACCATGCCGTCCATTAAGTGATTTCCTCGTGCAAATTTATCCATATTGTTTGCACATATTTCAGACATGTAGAGAAATTAAATGCAACCTGGTTGTTACCTTTCTTAGCTTGAATTGTTTACTTGCTACTTTATTACTTTATTACATGTTCTGATTCGTTGCCGAAAAACCAATTAGAGCGCTGTCTCCAGACAATAACCAACACCGATACAACATCCTAAATCAAGCCAACAAGCTCCAACATTAACCCAATGAGAGGCAATGTTTGGAACAAACCAAACCAACTAGCCCGACCAATAGAACCCAATGGCCAACCAGCGACCTGTGTCCCGTCCCTTTCTAAGTTCTAAGTAATGAACATCAGCTTCTTGCACAGACTAATTCATTTTGCTTAATAAAACCTTAATGTATTATCATGAGCCATGACTATTAACTTTATTTATCTGTATTAGTATTTAATTTTTTTGGGTGCTGGTAGCCATTGACATTTTATGAATAACCAAAAACCACAGTCCCAACTCAACGTCTTCTACATCTTGGATGACCTGAGGGTAAGTAAATCAACAGCAACTTTTCTATTTTCCTATTATCCCTTTAAGTAAATGCATAAAATATGAATGCAAGCAATCTTTTAAGTTATGCTAGCTCTTGGGTGAGAACAAGTATAGAATAGATATGGGGTTGTATGTGATGATGCTGATGATAAGTATGATTTGCAAGATCAAAAACATCCAGCACTATTTCAAATGAACTAGAACCATTTTAATGACATTTCCTGTTGGTGAAACACTACTGTTACAGTATGTCATGCCTGAATTTCTTTCCCAAATTTAACAGAACACCAGTGGTACATAATAAAAATGTTCATCTAATAATATCATTCATAGAAATCATCAGTACCACTAATAACTGTTAAAACGTTGTCAATCATTTAGCACCAAAGTACTCATCAACATAAAATAAATCTCCAAACAGTCCAGATTTGTTAAATTCTAAGATAGATGAATACTCAGTAATATGCTAAGTCAACCTTACCTGTGATCTCAATGGGTACAAGCTGAGCTGGAGTTTGTCGGCCAAGGTACCAGCGAGGTTTCTCTGCAACAGGTGGACTCAGTGCAGCATTCCAGCCTAAAAGAGTCTTCTCTGAAGCGCAAGGGCTCGGGTCCTGCGCCCGGACCCCTAAAGTTGTGGTCTCATCCTCACACACCTGCTTATTTGCAGGCTACAGGTAAAAGAAAGAGAAAATGATAGTATGCATATAATAATTATTTGATTATGATTAATTACTAATTTTGTAGTTGTGATGCCTTGTAATAGAACCCAAAATGTGTTTTAATACTAAGGTTAATTCTGAAGCATGAATTTGCATGTTTAGAGGCACTGGTAAATGTCAATGATTATTTAATTTACAATAATAATTAAAGGGATAATTTACTCATTATATACTGCACTCTCGAGTGGTTCCAAACCTTGAACACAAAAGAAGATATTTTGATTAAAAAAAAAAAAAAAAACTGAAGACCTGTAACCATTGACTTACTGTAGTAGGAATACAAAATACTATGAAAGTCAATGGTTACAGGTTTCCAGCTTTCTTCAAAATATCATCTTTTGTGTTCAGCTGAAGAAAGGAACTCATAAAGGTTTGAAAGCAGTAAAGGCTCACCCTAAATAGTGCCTGGCTTTTAAGTTTTGGGTGAAGTATCCCTTTAATTTTGCTCAATAGTCATTGACTTAGTAGCTGAATTAAAAAAGATTGTTGAGTTGCTGTTTGTTTACGTACTTAAAACCACCAACTCAGAGAAGCCTGTAGCTGTTTTCACTCAGGGGACAAGCCACATTTAATTAGATTTCCATTCTTTACACAACATAAATGCTTTGCATGAAGCTAATTAATTTGTTTGTGGACCAGAAGTCAGATTCCAGTATCTACTTCTTACTGACTAGTTACTAATTTTGTAAATGGTAACACCTTAAAAAATGGTCCATTGCTAGTTAATGTAATTACTAACATGAACGAGTGCTGGGCGACTAATCAAAAAGTAATAAAAATCAGCAATCTGCGTCAAGCGCACATATGGGGCTCTATTTTAATAATCTACTTTCACTTTTGTAAGGATGGAAAATACCCTCTGCGCCATGGCACATGATCTAACAGGGTAGAGCTTTTTCTCTTAATGAGTTATGGGTGTGTTTTAAGCATAAAGTGCATTAAACCAATCAGTGTCTCATCTCACATTCCCTGTAAGAGTCAATTGTGCAGTGCCATGGTGCATTTACTATTTACATGGCGGACTTTGAAAGGGAAAAAACTGAACGCTTCACTAGCGAGAAAAGTTAAACAGACCATCTGCAGCGCGAGGATAAAGAATAAGCCTCCTCCATTCGGTCTCTTTACTTTCTCTTTCTCTTCATTTTTACTTTTTCTCCTTTACCTCCGTGGATAAGGAAAAGGTGTTATATGCACATGACTGAAGACTTCCATTAGCCTACATATTTAATGTTGTTTTTTAAGCTAAAAGATTTGTTTAAAAACTATTTCTAAATTTAGTTCTAATATAACAGTCATATCCAAACACACGTCTTGTTCTTATGCCCCATGTGGTGATGCAGACCAAAAAAAACCCGACAGGTGGACAAATCTAAGCTTGTTTTTATTAAAACAAACATGAACATATATATATTAAATAATACTGCTAATAATAATAACATTATACAAAAGCAAATTGTCATCAATAACCTGAAAAATACCCCCTCACATGAAGAAGGCCAGGCAGTGTTTTTATATTTATGTGGAAAATATATATAATATTTTAATACTTTTTTTTATTATTTGTAAAGATATTTGTGTATTGCTGTGCATTCTCTTTGTATCAAGCAATGTGTAGGCGTTTAAGGTGCACAACTAATGCGCTCAGCGCTGGACTTTAGACCTGCTTTCAGCTGGTCAATTGTGCAGTCTATTTCAATTACTTAAAATAGCAACACGCCAGAAAGGGCCTTAATTTATAGAACACCCATGAGTCCACAAAGCGGCAAATGGATTTGCTATTTAAACCATGTGGTGCAAAACGGGGGTGAATTTGGGTTGTGCTGATCTAAAAAGGGCAACAAATCACACCTAACACATCTTGCGCCTTATTGCGCTGTGTATGATAGGGCCTACGGTCAAGCACCGCCGTCTTGCAGTCCTATAGCCCTCGCTGTGGCTGATGCAGACGCTGAAGTTAGTTGTTTTCACTTTTTAATAAGAAAAAGTTTAATAAGAAAGAGGTTTGTTTAAGACATTGTGTGTTATAATTTCAGATGTTCAACATTGATGTTCAATAAATAATCATATATAGTAGATAGTGTGTGTTTCCTTCGGTTATTTTAAAATCAAGTAATGCACTCTGCATTCAAAAATATCTCACTTGTAATATGTGAGCACATTTACTGGACAAAACCTGTCAGTGAACTGTGAAGGCAAACACAATTGACAATTGTGTTTGTAATTTTGTACAAATTACAATGTCCAATTAATCGAGATTTTAATTATGCGCCAAATCGCCCAGCCCTAACACAAAAAAACAATTAGTTGTACATTTATTAAGGTATTTATTCAGGTATTTATTTTGTTAACACTAGTTAATGTTATTTAAGTTAAATAACATACATTCATCTTAGTTCATGTTAACTCATGGCGTGTTAACTAATGTTAACAAGCACATCTTTGGATTTTAATAGTGTTAAATATTAAACCATGATTGATAAAGTTTATTTATATTTAGTTAATGCTCGTAAATACATTAAAATTAACTAATGGATGATTATTCTAAAGTGTTATCTTGTACGTTTATAAAGTGTAATAATGCAGCATACAAGTAGTTACCACAAAGACGAATTCCGTCTTCTTGTTGTTGAGTGAGGAAGGCGACCGGCTGAGAGTTGTTGACGTGTCCTCCGAGCTCTGAGAGGAAGGATGTTTGAATGTCTGTCCTGTCACTCTGTTATCATACAACTGCTCCTCGAAATCTGAACAGACATAGACACAATGTGCTGGTTTAGAGTTAGCAAGACACTGAAATCAATGGATGAAATCTCCCTCGCTCTTCATCAGAAATGTTCCCTGTGGCTCTTGTAAACAAAATGATTACCATTACATTCATTCCCAGGACTCCCCTCACAAGACCCCACCCCATTCTTGTAGCCATCTTAATCCCCCAAAACATTCTCTTTAACCCCTCCTCTACATACTCAAAAACACACATACAAAAACATGCTCCCTCTTTTTCTGAGCCGGGATGCCGCACTCTTAGACTTGGGGTTGCCTAGCAATGGTGGGCTGTCTAAGACAATGGCATACCTCCGGAGTCAACAATAGCCTCGAGCCCCAAGTTTAGCCTCGTTGAGTCCTCTTCACATGCTGGGACAGAGCAGAGCCCAGCACAAGCTGAAATCTTAAACCTCTACTAGAATGAGTGAGACAGCAGCAAGACATGCACAGCTTCTGAATCTGCACTAGCATTTGCCTGTTATGCTGTTCTATTTGAGGAATGATGCTTGACCAGATGGCTTTTAAATCGACACACTAATGAGATACATAGAAAGACAATCCTCCAGCCTCAGACCTTAAGTTAAACACTTGTGCTGAATGTATTGTGAAGACTGATGGACGTCATCTGATATGTAAAATCCTACTGAAATATGAAAAGATGCACTGACTATTTTCCAACAGCTGTAACTGAAAAAAATGCACATCTAAAAGCTGATCTAAAACCCACTCTGTATTTTTAAAATAATATACCACTTGGTAATTCTAAATGTGGAAACTGTCAACAAAGCAATTTCACATACATAATATCAACTTTCACACATCCCCATACAGCAAAAATGTTTTAAATTTGAGGCACTATTTCTTGCAAATATGTTGCTATGCAAGTGTGCTTTATGTTATGTCAGTAAGACGAGTAGGCCTTTAAAAATCTGCATTTCTAATTCTGAACATTGATACACTATTCGACATCATGATCCTAGAAGTCTGGTTGCACAGCATTTTTAGTTATGAGACATTCTGTCTCCACTCTACAATATATAGGGATTGAAGTTGTTAAGTGTCCATGTCAGAGGGGAGATCTTAATTAATCTTAATAAATTGCTGTTACAACGTGATGCCTTTTAGATTTTCACTCTAGATACGTTGACTCCAAAAGTTTTAAACAAGGAGTTAGATATTCCTCCTTTTCTTTAATGTTTAACTAGTTGTTTGAGTAAAGGTTTTTTTGCCTATAATTTGTTGTATTTCTTTTGTTATGTTTTGCCTTTTTTCATGATGTATTATTGGGATCTGTTTCTGTTTTTTTTTTTTTCGTTTTGAATATGTAAGTATAATTTACAAATGTGTTTTTCTATTTTTTGTTATAGGATAATGAATGAGATCATGTGATCTGGAAGTGTATGAAAAAGAGCAACATACTGTGATGAACACTGCCTGAAGACATTACACGCCTTGTATCAGCCTTTTAATTTAATAAATTGGCATTTTTGGAGCTTTGGTGTTGAGGCCTTTTTTAATGTTTTTTCACAGCTGTAATTGGCCAACATGCAATGCATTCTACACACAAACCACACAGCAGATTCCTTGTAAATGTACACAACTATCCCCACTTTTCCAAACACAACTTCCTACTGTACACTACTATTTGGGGTTAATAAGAGGTAATACGAAGAAGGAATAATTTTATCAAGCAAAAATATATTACAGTAATTAAATTTAAGTAGTTGACACTGAAATCCGGTGCTGTGATTGCTGAAATATCACCAACAAAAATATCAGGAACTAATAGATTAAATATATAATAAAAAATATGTATTATTATATAATAAAATTATAATATAGTAATTAAAAAAATTCAGACCGGATGTTCAAAGTTTCAGAATAACCTAGAAATACATTTTCCCTGTTCTTAAGGCTTTCGTGAATGAAATGTTCTTTAGCATTGTTTATTCTATATTCAATATTCTTTGCTTCAAAAGCAAAAAAATAAAAATACTAAAAACAACAGCATGACCTGACACGTGATTTCCATTAAAACATATGCAGGGTCAGGATTCACGTGTATTAAAATATAAAACATTTAAATTAAAATGTTTTCAAAATTATTGAAAGAAATCTTTCTGTCCCCAAACATTTGAAAATGATTGCAATTCTAAATTGTAAGATAAATGCATCTACATTCCACCCAACAGAAAATAAAGTAACAACAGAGTGCCAGAACTCACCATCCCGTGGAAGAAGAGTCTTCACCCAAAATCAAAACTTCAAAAATGATATATGGCAGAGGGTAGCAGTTGCAGCAGTGAGACTGAATGAGTGTGTATATGTGTGTGGAGGTATTTTCAAACACAAGGTATAGCCCCCCTCCCCCTCCCCCTCCTCCTCCACTTCCCCCTGACCTGAGCCAGTCAGTAAAACTAATGGGACTCAAAAAACTCCATTCTTATTAGCCAATCAAATGGCTCGCCTAGACAAGATGCCAACCACTCAAGCACGTATGAGTGATCATGAATGACCTCAAAGCATCGCCTAACAAGATGCTCACTGAAAACCACCCATTTATTAAATATGGGTCACTCCTCGTCTTTTGTATGCAGTAGAGGAATGGAAGAGGTCAAGAGCAACAATGCTTCTTTTCTTGTCAATTTGGCTACTTTTTGTCTGGTCTATTTTCAGTTTGCTCTTTGTTTCTCATTCATAACAGAAAACAAATCGGGTTTAAGTATGAGGGAGTATTAGTACAATGTCACTGATTAGCTTAGTGCTGTAGATGCCTGATCTCTTCTGCGTTGATTGGCCTTTAAGTTTGCTAACATATACATATAAAAGCAATAGATAAGATCTTTGCTCACAGTGTGTTCCTGTCAAATATTGTTTTAACCATAAAATTAATCTACTGCAACATTCATTCATTTTCTTTTCAGCTTTGACCCTTTATTAATCCGGGGCCGCCAAAGTGGAATGAACCGCTAACTTATCCAGCATATGTTTTATGCAGCGGATGCCCTTCCAGCTGCAACCCATCTCGGGGAAACATCTATACACACTCATTCACACACATACACTTCGGATAATTTAGCACCCAATTCACCTGTACCGCATGTCTTTGGACTGTAGGGGAAACCAGAGCACCCTGAGGAAATCCATGCCAACATGGGGAAAACATGCAAACTCCACACAAAAACGGCAACTGACCCAGCCGAGGCTCGAACCAGCGACCTTCTTGCTGTGAGGCGACAGCACTACCTGTGCCACCGTGTCGCCCACTCTACTGCAACATATATTATGTAATTTTAGAAATTTAAAAAGGATCAAAGTGTAACAAATTGATTACAACAAACTGCATTAATGGGTACATGGTATTTTGATTTCAGTCAGCCAGCTCAAGCACTTCCAGTGAAAGTTATTGCAAAATTGTCACATTTAAGATCTGATTTCTTTAAAATTTGAAATCTATTATAAAGTGGGTATTAGAACAGGCAAAAAACAATGAATTAAATTACACTATTTCACGTAATTTTTAGTTTAGGCGCTATCCTGCTGCTCCCGACGGCACTTGCATTTAAAGGTTCTGTAAGTGCTTTGAAACGCGCACTTTTATTTGATGTTTGATGTAATTTCAACTGAAACATGAAGTGAGAGTGGGAAATAGTGTTGCATTTAAATCTTGCACCAGTGCTTTTTCTATATAACCACACACCTGATTATAAATGGCTCTGCTTGCTCATTACAAAAATGATCATTTATCACGTATCTGGCTGCGTGATCTTTAATTTGCATTGCCAGCAGGTAACCTGCGGAACTTTCTACTCCGGTTGCCACTTTTATGAGATTGTAGTCTCAAGTTAATTGGCTTTGTTCATTAAACCTGACCTCATGTCCTCTGTTTACTAGATTTTTAGCTAAGATAATGTCAGCAAAATGATTTCAATAAGAATCCATGATTTCACGTGAAAGCATAGAATTTTGATTCTGTTTACACCAGCTATAAAGTTGCCTTTTTATGTGATAACATATGGATGGAATTCAAATGTAAAGGAGTTCTGAAGCATTTGACTACTTTCAACCACTTCCAGGGCCAGTTTAAAATGCATTTGATAGCTTTCATAGTTGAAATGCTTCTTTACAAACAGCCACTAAAGCCCACCTACTCTCCACCTGATCATAACATTACAGTACAGTGTTGGTAAAGCCAAACAGGATTATAGGTTTGAAGTAGCTTTGCAGCTATCAGAGCAGAAATAAAAGCTGCTGCTGCCTTGCCATTTTTCGTTGTATCTTTTCATGTTCATATGTAAATTCATTCATTCATTTACTTTTCGGCTTAGTGCCTTTATTAATCTGGGGTCGCCACAGCAAAATGAACCACCAATTTATCCAGCATATTTTTTACACCCTTCCACTCACTGGGGAACATCCATACACTCATTCACACACATACACTCTGGACAATTTAGCCTACCCAATTAACCTATACCACGTGTATGTGTCACGCAATGTCTGTCTAGTGAGCTTATCAGAATAGGTAACCCGTGATATTTAATAACTGATTTCTTTTATCTTTTCCGTGATGACAGCACATAATATTTGACTAGATATTTTCAAGATACTAGTATGCAGCTTAAAGTGACATTAAAAGGCTTAACTAGGTTAATTCATCAAGTTAGGGTAATTAGGCACCTTAAAATGGTTTAAACATTTTAAAACTGCTTTTATTTAAGTCGATAAAAAACAAGTAAGACTTTCACCCGAAGAAGAAAAATTATAGGAAATACTGTGAAAAATGTCTTGCTCTGGTAAACATCATTTGGTAAATATTTGAAAAAGAAAAAAATTCACGAGATGGCAAATTATTTTGATGTATATATATATATATATATAATTTATTTCATTTTCTTGAGGGCTTAGTCCCTTTATTAATCCGGGGTCGCCACAGCGGAAAGAACCGCCAACTTATCCAGCACGTTTTTATGCAGCGGATGTCCTTCCAGCCGCAACCCATCTCTGGGAAACATCCACAAACACACTCATACACTATGGACAATTTAGCCTACCCAATTCACCTGTACCGCATGTCTTTGGACTGTGGGGGAAACCGGAGCACCCAGAGGAAACCCACGCGAACGCAGGGAGAACATGCAAACTCCTCACAGAAACTCCATCTGAGCAGAGGTTCGAATCAGGTTCAAACCAGCGACCCAGCGACCTTCTTGCTTGCATATATATATCTATATAATGAAAAGTAACTAGTAACTATTTAAGTGTCAATACTTTTTTACTCTTACTCTAGTAAATTTTTAGGTTTAAATCTGAAAGAGTATCGTGTTTCTTTAAAGAAATAATCTAATAGTCTAATAAATGAATCGTAATGGTTCAGATTTTTTGAGAAATCCACGCCAATGCGGTACATCACCAAATATAAAGTGGTTCTGGTAAAACGTGAAGGCTTTCCATTTAGACACTAGCGGAGTGTAGAGGATCACAAGACTGGTCATGACATGAAGATGACAGATAGAGATTCGGCTGTGGGGAATAAATGGTTAAAGTTTATTTTCACAAAAACACCACACTATAGCCAACCTAATGCTGTGTTTGTTCCTGTCATTTTTCTGATGATTGATACAATAATCTACGCTGCAACACAGGATTTGCTGGCTGTTTCCTATTAAAGGAAGGAGCAGCAGAGACTATTATGTATGGAACTTTGTCAAACTTTGACAGGGACTTTGTCAGCAACGGTTTCAGTTCATATGAACACGTTTCTTCTTCCTCTAAATCATAACATGTAAGTGTCATTGAAATTATTGCCTCGTTTTTGTAGTTTGCAAAATATGTGTTTAATTGTGTGTTGTAACTTGTAATCGTTCAGCGTGGCTTGTAAATTACGTATGTATTATAGATCAGTGCTTGTACTGTATCTCCCAGGTTAAATATGCATGGGGCTAATCACATATTGCGTCTTAAACCACGTTAAAAACGTGACGTGTGCTCCACGTGAACTCACGATCCTCTGCCTTTTTGTCATTGCTATGGCCACCATCAGCAGGTCCTCACACGTGTGGTTGTCACGGTCACGCAAGGATAGTTATATCTTTAAGGGCATTTATTAGTGCAATGCAACAGATGCAGAGAGATGAAGCAGGTAGGTGGTGGAGCAGAGGGAGAGCGATCTCACTCACAGTTCATATGGCAAGTATCAAATCTTCAGTCAAACTACATTTAAGCTTGGTCACCTCTCTTTAGCAGTTGTGTTTGGATCCAGAGGCGAAGAGGGAAATCCATGAAAGAATATGAGAGGAAGAGGGAGAGCTGATGAAGTGTACCATCCAACGTTGATTCCAGCCGGTGAGTGAATGAAGGAGTTGGGTATATATAGTGTGTAGTGATTGCAGGTGTATGTGTGGGTTATCAGTAAGTGGGTGATTGTTTACAGGTGGGTTGAATGGTGGATGGTGATGGGGAGCAGTGATTGGAGGACCAGGAACAAGCTGAGGGTGTGACAACGGTGCAGTCATTTTTCAAAATAGTTCAACTATTTCCACTGTGTGAATTAATACGGAATAGCCGCATTTCCACTGTCGGGCCATGGTTTTTATCAAGCCAGGCTAATCGCCCGGAAGGTTGAGCAATGAGGCCGAAATCATGTCGCATTTCCACTGTGAGGCTAGTAGCTCACAGTGCATCACGCAATCCATGGCCCCAGAACGTCCCCCGAATTAAACGTCACACAACCCGACCAGTTCAGTGTGAATCAGGCAGATAAAACACACCATCACATCATCACGAAGCCATTAAAATGAAGACAACAAATGACTCGTTACTTTACGGTGTTACAATATATGTCTATACACACAGGACTGTGTGATTTCATTTATTATATTAATTTACTCGCCGACCCACTGCTGGCATCGTGCATCGAGTGGTCTCACCACTAACAGAGGGACCCAGCGCAGTGAGCGCACCCATCCAAAATATAGAACCACAGAAATTCTCTGGTAATACCTTGATATGAAATGTATGAAATACTTGCTCATAAGAGCAAGTAATAAAATATAGCCTATATTTCTTTGCGCTCAGCAGCTATCCACTAATAAAGCTCTACATTTATTTATTCATTTTAATTTTACCATGTTATATAAAACATAAACACTTGTTTGAGGACACAGAACACATTTTGTGTTTGCAGTTTTCCCAGATGCATTTCTAAAACGGTGCTGGACTGCATGACAGAAAAGTTTCCGCTTTCACTCACCAGAAATGAGTTGTTTGAATGATTTGATTAATATCATCGTATCAAAATACTTTATAAATAATATTTTAAACCTCCTCCGGTGTTTATTGATTTTAGAAAATATCTAAAATCTTTTTTTAGACCTTTGTAAAATGAAAGTTTAATATGGCTTTAAAACGGTTTGATTTATGTATTGTAGCCTATATACCTAAATTGTTATAGTTAGCTTTTGTTTGTTTTATATTGGTTTATTTATTTAATGTGTTTTTCATATATCCGTTGAAAACAAATACAATATTTGTAATTCTTTAAATTATGTCAATATAGCTCAGGCTATTTTATCGAGATATGACACTATTGTTTTAAGCCTACAAAAGTAGACACGTAATTTGTAAAGTTTTAAGTATCTCTGTTGTATTCATATTGGGTATTATCTCCAAAATAAACAACAAAGAAAAAAGCTGCTCGCAGCATTAACAGAGCAGTCAAGAGAGCAATTTTTCCCCAGGTTTCTCACACACATACACGTATCACGCACAAACACACATTTTAAACTTGACAAAAACTCTTGATAACCTTTACTGGTTGCTGTGCCTTTAATATGGTTTAAAGATATTTATGCATTACTGAAACATCAGGAGAACGCAGCAAAGAACAGTCACTATGGCTATAAATTAAAACTTTTTATGCAACAGCCTTACACTTAAAAGGGAAACATAAGGGCGATCATAAGCAAAAAGACCCCTAGACTGTAAGGTGTTTTGTGCAATAGCCTATCTTAAACTGAACAGTATGTTTTCTTTTCCCCATTTATTTATTTGTTTGCCTCATATACTCGTGTGCGATCAGAAAACTAGTGTAATAACTGCATGCCAATTTTAACAGACTCGGGCAAAGTCTGCCTCTTCTTTCACTCCGCCTCGAAGCCCCAGCTGGCTCTCTTTGGCCCAAGGTATTCAGCGGGCCTGCTGGCCTCGAGAAAGCACCGCTTTGGTCCGATCAGGACCCGAAAGTGACAGTGGAAACGCGACAGGCCTTGGCTCGGCCTGGCTCTTCCTGGCTCGCTCGCTTTAGGCGCGATAGTGGAAACATGGCTATTGTGTGTCATTGTTATTACTTGGGGTTAGTGTTAAGAGTAGAGTAATATGCTGGTGTTTGACTGCATTGCTTTAATGCATTCCTGCATTGGGCTCTCACATACTCTGTGCTACTTCATAACAATGGTGGGCGTTTCTCTCAACAAACACAACAGATTGGGTCATCGGACCAATCAGCGCAAAATAGCTTCATGCTAAAAAGGGGTTTAGGAACAAATGAATCACTGAACTAATCATATGTCATAATTAATCATATAAGTTGTTAAGATAATTAGGTAAAAATTGATGCATATTATAAGACAAAACCAAAATATGGTGTTTGTAATGCATAATACGGGCTCTTTAAGTATGTCAAGCACTTAAGTACATTTTGTGGTTTTCAACGAGCCTGTCTTGTCTGATCCCATTGATGAAACACTTCTTGATACGAGGGCCTTACATCTCTGTAATACTATAAATATCTTTTACACAAATGTTGCTCTTTGTCCATATTTCAGTCTTCTTAAAGTTACAAAGAGCAAGTATATTTATGGCAAATAATATTCTGTCTCACTCAGTATCAAGTTTTGAAATAACAGATTCTTAAACTTTCCTCACTCCCACCAAGTCTTTTTATTTGGCTGCATCCCTGGATGGCAGACAGGCATATGCCATGGCAAATTGCTATTTATGCACATAGCACAGTGCCACAGATTCGTAAACACTGACCACCCACTCACTGTTGTTTAAGCAACAGCTGCCCAGTCGATCTGATGCTGAGCTTAAACCAGAATAGCATCTCAGATACGTATTAATAGCTGACATCAAACAAGAAAGAGATAAAAGAGGGAAATTCAACCACGTACAGTCGCATGCGCTCACTGGCACAGGAGTCACGAGCGATGCTGACATATTCATTTAGCGCATAGGCGGAAAAAAGCAAAAGAGAAAGGGAGACTGTGTGTATTCTCAACAAATGGAAATTAATCTAATGGATCCCAAAGTATGAGTCAGAAATACAGAGGGAACGATGGGAGACGGGCGCAGGGATGCTCAGAGGAGCAGAAAAACAAACACTGCCTCTCTTCCACGCTCTGGGAAACACAAGACGGGAATGGAAGTGGAGGGTATTCGCAGACGGCACGCATGCAAGGCGATGCAAAAAACACACACACACACAGAAAACAGAAGGAAAACACATGATGGGCAGAAGCGGGCAGGCAGACGGTCAGAGAAGCACAGAGCTGAAGTGCAGCAGCTTGACTCTCCTACCTTGCAGCAGACTCTGTAGGTTGAGCTGAGCCTCCTGGTGCAGCTCCTGCACACACTCCGGCCTACTCCACGAGCCGAACACATTCACATGCTGTTGCCATGACGATTGGAAGTGGGCCGTTCGTTTGCTCTCCGAGTCCAAGTTGGTGGCGGCTGGCAGAGAGAGAGAGAGAGAGAGAGAGAGAGAGAGAGAGAGAGAGAAAGGGAGGGGAGAAGAACCAGAGATGCAGATACAAGGAGGAAGTGAGAGAGAGAGGGAGAGATGCAGAAAGGAGGGAGGAGACAGGAAAACATACATAAATAAAAACTGAAAGATTTGCATATCTTTTTTTAAACATTTGCATATAGGTATCAGCATCAGCAGAGATGGAGCAACGGTACACTCACAATCAAAGGGCTGCAAACTCGTAATCACAGCAATTAATTCATTACCACACAAATATGCTTTACTGTCTGGCAAATCGAGCCAGGTACCAAAACAGAAAGATGTTTCTGCATGCCTTTACTGGACAAAGGAGGTGCTCTCTCCTGCTCTACGGAAGTATTTTAGCATCTAGACAGTTTATAAAATACTTTTTATCTTTATCTGTAGGCAGTAATTATAACCAAAACAATTAATAACATAAACAATAAGCTGTAAATTATTTTCTTCCTGTTCTATATATTCTATTAATCCTTAAAGGGCAAATACTAATTCATCAGGCTTATAATTCAATAAATATAATTCAATTATTCCATATGAAATATATAATTCATATTAATTACATAGAATTAATAGCTGCGCTGGACAAAAAAAAAAAAAATAGCACAGCATTGTATGCTTAATTTGAACAAGAAAAAAATATATTAATACTGAAACATTAATTAAATGTTATAGAAAACAAAATAATAACTTTCTCAAACATCAACAAAACACATTTTTTAAAAGTAAATTAAAAAGCAGAGTGATTGTATTTCTTGAAAAGTAATGCTTCAATTATTAATCTGCCAGACAGAACCTTATAATTCCAAGCGGAAAATGACTTTTTTAGAATTAGAAGGTTCTGTCTGCATGTGCCCTTTTTTTGTTTTTACCCTAATTTTCATATTAAGAAAATTTTAATAATTTAAATTTAGAGTACATTTAAAGGGTCACAAAACATCAAAACACATTTTTTTTGAGCTGTTGAAAGTCGTATATGTGTCCCACACTGCTAAAAAAAACTATTAGGACACATATATTTTACTAACAAGTGAAAATTGGTTGTTTTTGCGTTATTTCGAGCAAATTCGTACTTCCGGTTTGAAACGAATTTTTGAAGCTGCGTAATGGTTATGAGATCTTAGCATGTATTCCAGCATGTAGACTGAACTTCTGTATCTGGGAGTACCGTATTACGTCTCAGAGTGTGTTGCATTCATTCATGAATAAGACCTGGTTCAAACCAATTAGTGCACTTTATTATGTATACGCTGCGACTTCATTAATATGCATGCTAGCTTAGAAGACTGTACCTGAAACAGTGTTCAGACGGCAGAGAGACGCCATGTTGTGTTGCCAAAAGAAGTGGGAAAAGAATAAGAATTGTTTGGAGATACGGATCGTCAGTGTTGCTTTCATAATTTGCTACAATGAAGGTTTTGTTTTCATTTTCTCTCTATGAGAGCGCTGCTGGACTCAGTGCACGCAACGTGCGGCAGAAATACGTGTCTAAAGAACATTGTTTACCAGAGAGCTTTTCTTATCTGGAAATTGTTAAATCTGGATTTGCCGCTCATCTCCTTTTAATGTCTCTGTCATGTTAATGTATGAAAGATAACTATTATGCAAATATTGTTTTATGCATAATTACTATTTATAAACATTGTAATTACATTGTTAAAACATTGTAATGATGTAGTACAAACTTTTATCTTGGCTATAGTTACTATGTAATAACATTGCAATTACATTGTTAAAGGTTGTAATAATGTAATAACAATAATACATTGTTTAAACATTGTAATTTCATTGTTAAAGCATTGTAATGTAATTACAAACGTTTGTCTTGGATGTAACTACTATGTAACTAGTATGTAACAACATCATAACTACAATGTTACAACAATGTAATAACATTGTAATTACTACAATATTATAGCATTGTAATTACATTTAACATTGTTATTTTATTGTGAAAGCAATGTAATTAGGCTAATAATGTTATTATGTTATTAATAGTAATTTCATCCAAAATAAAAGTTTGTAATAACATTATTACAATGCTTTTACAATAAAATTACAATGTTATTGCATTGTTGTAACATTGAAAATTCCAATGCTATTACATACTGATTGCATAGTAATTACATCCGAGATAAACGTTTATAATTACATTACAATGCTTTAACAATTAAATTACAATGTAATTACAATGCTATAACAATATAGTAATTGCAACATTATTACAGTGTTATAACAATGTAATTACAATGCTGTTAAAATGTAGTGATTACAATAGTAGTTAATGCAATTACAAACATTTCTGACAACATCATAATTATATTTTTATAGCAATGTAATAATATTGCAAGTACTACATTGTTTTAACATTGTAATTTTATTGTAATTACAATCTTTTCTCTTGGTTGTAATTACTATGTAATAACATTGTAAAAGCATTGCAATTGCATTGTTAAAACAATGCATCAACATTGCAATTACTACATTGTTAAAGCATTGTACTTGTATTAAAATATTGTAATTTCATTGTGAAAGCATTGTAATTATGCTAACAATGTCATTAAATAGTAATTACATCTAAGATCAAATTTTTTTTTATTATATTATTACAATGCTTTAGCAATAAAATTACAATGTTATAACAATGTAGTATTGTTATTACATTATTACAATGTTTTAACAATGTAATTATGATGTTATAACAATGTAGTATTTACAATGTTGCTACATTGTCATAAAGTTATATCATATTTTGTTATACAGTATTTTATCCAAAATAAAAGTTTGTAATTACATTACCACAATGCTTTCACAATTAAATTACAATGTTATAAGAATGTAGTAATTACAATGTTATTGCATTGTTGTAATATTGTAATTATGGGGTTTTTACATACTAAGTACATCCAAGATAAACGTTTTGTAATTACAATTACAATTTCAATGCTTTAACTATTAAATTACTATGGATTAACATGTTATTACAAAGCTATAAAAATTGAGTAATTAAAATGTTATTACACTGTTATTACAATGTTATTACACTGTTATTGCAACGTTGTTACATTGTTATTGCAATGTAATTACATTTCTATAACAATGTAACTACAATGCTATTAAAATGTACTTACAACGCTGTTACGATGTTGTTACATAGTATTTAAATAGTAGTTACAACCAAGATAAAAGTTTGTAATGACGTTACAATGAAATTACAATATTATAACAATGTAGTGATTACAATATTAGTTACAATTATTATTAGTAATTACAAACATTTCCTTGAATGTAATTACTATGTAACAACATCATAATTATATTGTTTCAACAATGTAGTAATATTGCAATTACTACATTGTTAAAAAATTAATTTCATTGTAATCTAATAACAAACTTTTCTCTTGGTTGTAATTACTATGTATTGACATTGTGAAAACATTGTAACAACATTGTAATTACATTGGTTTAACAATGTATCAACATTGCAATTGCTACATTGTTATAGCATAGTACTTACATTGTTAAAACATTGTAATTTTATTGTTAAAGCATTGTAATGTAATTACAAACGTTTATCTTGGATGTAATTACTGTAATTAGCAGGGCTTTGCAATAACACTCACCAACCCGCCAAATGCGGGTAAATTTCCACTCTGGCTGGTAAGACAGCCGCTCCCACTAGCCACTTTGTCTGGTTGGAAATAATTTTTACATTGTAGTTTTCTTAAAGCAGGGTTCGACAATAAGGATGGCCCAAAATGTAATCGTAGAATTGACAAGCAGCACGACTGACAAAAATAACTGTGCTTGCGCGAATAAAAGCAGGTGAATACCTTATGAGAGGATGATTACTCATACGCACTGGTGATGTGATGCTGGCGACTGGTAAAAAGCGCGTGCGCTCCAGTTTACTTGCATGAAACAACTGTGTGTAGAGGAAGTGCAATTAGTGCGATCGGTTCTCTTTGTAATAGAATAGACAAAAATACTTGTGCACCCACAGTCCTGCTGTTTTTTAAGAGCTCAATATTGAAAAAAATAGACATACATTCTTTTGTAAGCAGCAGCAGTAACTGTTTACATTTTAATAATTCTTAGAACAAATTAAAAGGCCTAACGTTAACTGTGTGCATGTGATCATCCTTTAATTATCACACACAATGTTTTTACCTGCTTTCTTTTGCTTACAGTTATTTTTGTTAATATAGTTAAATTATCATGCTTTACAAAAACATTGCTTTAATAGGAGATTAACTCCCCATTTATGTGTAGTAACTGCTGATCTGGGACCTTTAGCAAGAATAGATTACTTTGCATATTTTAGATACATGACAAAATATCTTTTTAAACGTCAATTAAAAAAAGTTTTGTTGAATAAAAAGGACATGTCTAGCTATATTTTGCTTGTTTTGACACATTTAAAATTTGTGGCAAAAAAATCATTATTTTTTCTTTTGATGTAGTCATTTTTAATTTTGAGCCCTAAAAAAGGCATGTGAAATAAAACTACTTGCATTACGACACAACCTATTTGCTCATGCACAGTGAGCAAGCTCATGCACAACACACACAAAAAGTGAAATGAATGAGTAGGCATGTGGACAACGCAACGTCTAAATCAAGTTATTTTAGCATGTCAAAGTCAAATTCATGCTTATAAAATATGCTTTCCAAACAACAAAATTGTGGCTAGTGAAAATGGCGAATGGCTAGTAATGTTGGAAATCTACTTGCCACAGTGGCTGGTGATCAGAAAAGTTAATGTCAAGCCCTGGTAATTAGTATGTAATAACATCATAAATACAATATTTTAACAATGTAAAAACATTGTAATTACTATATTGTTATAACATTGTAATTTCATTGTTAAGGTATTGCAATAATGTAAGTAAAAACTTGTATTTTGGATGTAATTGCTATGTATTAATATTGTAATTACATTGTTAAAACA